CGATCGCTATCGCGTCCCGTGTGTCGGGTTTCACCCTGGCTGCGATGACAGCCATTAATCGCTGTAGTTTGTCGCTGCCCGTGTGTCGAGTCCTTTAGGGCTGGGCGGTATGACCACAAATTCATACCACAGTATAAACTGAACCCCTTCACGGTAACGGTATATATCGCGGTGGAGAATTATCATAAAAAGTTAAGATAATGTAATTTTTAGAACATTTTTTTTTCAGAAAACTGTAATCTTAATCAAACCCAATGTTTTTGCTTTAATATCTGCCTGCCAAACAATGAGCTTCTCCCTGCTGAACATATCAGCTGCTGCTCTGCTGCGTGCTCATTTTCATCATCATCAGAGCGGAAGCCGACTTTACATTAGCAAGATGGATTTACGACTGAACGAACGTCCATCTTTTTTTAATAATCTCTGTGGGTAACAATATATAAAAAACAAGTATTTTCTCTGACAATTGGGTGTGAAAAACTACAGTTGTTAAAGCTTCGCTCTGCGGGACGTGCAGCGAGAGGAGAGGGAGGAGGAAATGATCCCGTGACACAACGTAACTTTTCCTACAGCGGGAGGGGGATATTTTGCGGATTTATCCTCTCTATACGTGTTTTAAAAACGCTAGATTTTCTTCATTAAATTTCGAACTCCTGCTCAGTTGTCTCTGCGCTGGGAGCCCTGTTCACACAGGTGCGATGATGTAATGACGATAGAGTATAAATTTCTACCGTAGGTCAACTTCATACTGTTTCTTCCATCTACCGCATATGCCGCGCAGCCCTATGCTGTATATATCAAAAATGTATAAGACTTTGCATCATAGTTTGTCTAAACGCCTTGAAAGTGGCCACTGTCTCTTCAAGAACCTCCTACCGTTTCAGACACTGCCTCTTCAGCATATTTTCAAAAAAATGCGTCGAGGTAGGGGTGCTCTGTGAGGTGGGAGTTTGGCTGCAGGGAGGAGCTTTGTGTAAATAGGCGGTGCTTTGTACCAGCAAGAGTTTAGGCAGCTCCACATGCCCCCCACCCCACCCCACCCAAAAAAAAAAAAATAATCTCATGAACTACTGGATGGATTTGATGGTGTTGGTGCTGGTATGAAAGGCAGTGAATGTTCAGGGAATGCTACACCTTAAATATTTCCTCTGAACTCTGACTAACACTTGTGTGATTCAGCCTGTTTATGTCATCCTTGTTCTGATCTGGGCTGAACTGCCATAAAACAAGCAGCCAATGTAAAATGGATGTCAGGAGTCAGGCAGCCTGATTTTCCAGCCCAACGAGTCCGACCAATAAAAGTCAGACGGCGTGTTTCTGCCTTCATGTTCAAAAGCTCTTTTTTTCCCCTCTCTCTCTCTCTCTCCTTGTGTTGCCACTTTGGTGTCAAACAATAGCAGAAATTTGTAAATCTCGGTAATTTTGTCGTTACGTTTGTGTGTGAAGCGTTTCTGAAGTCTTGCCTCACTTTATGAATGAAAGCACATGAATGAGGCATGAGTGGGTGTGCTGCTCACACGTGCGTGAGCAGAGCGGGAACAAGTTCAGTGTTAATGCAAGGTGAATCATGGTGACACCGCGGCCTAAGGTAAACATACAAAACGAGAAGAATTGTTGAATAAGTTAGAATGTTGTTTTTTTAAATGAAATTCTTGTGCCTAACAAAAGCACACACCCGGTTCTGTAAAGCCGCTGTGGTAACTGTAAAAACATGAGTTGTCTGTTTTTAGGATGTGGATAAATGGCTTGTTTAACCACAAAGGTCAAATCTGATCGTCATCACTGTTTTACCCGTCCCCTAAGATAATACTTTTGTTTTATTGTTTCTCTTTTTGTTTCTGTGTTTAGTGCAGTCTTCTCATGACAGCAGGCCAACTTTCAAGCCAAGAGAATTAGGTTTGAATTTTTTCAGTAATCTTTGACTTTGGTGCGAAAAGAGTAACCGAGAATCAACTTTAATCATCTTTTTTATTCATTTTTTCTTATTTTTTCAAATGATTACATTTTTATTGAGGGTTTTCTTTTTTTTTTTACCTGATTTGCTGTGTTGTGATAAGATGAATCTCTAAGAAACCATAAATGAAACACATTGATTGAAAGAAAGGCATAATAAATGAAAGCTAATGATGCGTTTTTCTAAATGTGATCTTTTTTTTTACTTTATCCATTAGATTATGTGTGTTAGAAATGGTACATAAAACACAATTTGCAAAATGTCATTTGTAGTTCTATAAGAATAATTTGTAAAATAATTTTTTTTATTAAAAAGTGACAAAGTGGCCCTGTGCTTGGTCCAAGTTGTGAATTTTGGCCCTCTTGAGTAACTGAGTTTGGACCCCCACAGATCAAACACGACCTGTAAAGTTGCAGTTTCTGAACATTGAAGGGCATCATTATTGTACTTTTTTTTAGGTAAATGCAAAGAGAACTCTCTTATTTCCCATTGTTCAAACTATGTAGTCCACTAGGAAGAAATACTTTGTCTTGTAATGTTAACAAAATAGTGAGTAACATGGTAAAAATGTATGCAGCAAGACATTCCTGCAAAAGTGATTTTTTTGGTTTTGTTTTTATGTTCAAAAGTTTGTAACAAAAGTGTAGTCCAGCAGTTTGTGTGTGTGTTTTTTTATATTCAAAAATACTATAAAAATAATAAAGTTAAAACCACAATCATTTAAAAACAGTTTCTTGTGACTAATCACATTAAAAGCAGAACAAAGCTATTCCTAGAAATTTGCCATCGGTCCTAACTTTAAGGTCCATGAGTCATGTAACAATACAGGGAGAGGTGGCTCCCTCCTTGTTGTACCTGTAGTTGTTTCACAGTAATTTGTCCCCGTGGTCGTCGTTCTGCTTCACTAATGTTTACTCTCCCCCACACTCGCAGGTACACCATGGTGACAGCTATGGGCTATCTGACGGCATGCCACGTGAGCAGAGTCTTCATCTTTAACTATGGGATACTTTCCACCGACTTTTCTGGGTGAGGGAAAACACTATCACCTTGTTGTTTTGTCCCTTATCTGCAGCCATGCCCCAGTGGGGGCAGCGGCATAGTCGGTATTTCAGCTGAAGAGCAGCTCTTTTGTTGTCAATGAACATTTCAGGTGTGTACGTGTGAGAAATACAGACATTGTTCAAATGAGATTATTAGTTGTGTTACTGTTTTTGTGTATTTGACTGTACAAAGACACCCCACACTTTATTTTGGGTGTATGTTTTAGTTAGATTGTTCATTTCTGAGAGTACTGGTATTTACTG